CCAGAGTTTAAATTGGGTCGGAGCCCGGTTCCGGAGTTCTTAATCGTAATTCTAGCTGGAGAACAAACACCATAACACTAAATAGAAGGGCTCCGGCACAAATAAGGCCCCAAAAAATAAATATGCCTTAGAACTCAATTAAACTTCCGAATACTGCCCTGTTGTACTAGGGAGGACAAACACTTTGACGGAGGTTATGAAATTTAAGGAAAGAAAAACTCCCATCCCTCATGTCAAAGGCTTATTCTCCAGGTAGTGTATTGCATTTATGAGGCGTCAAAAATGCTTTTTTTCCTTTAGTCTTAAGCCCACCAGTGGCAGAGCGGTAAAATCGCTGAACACTGGTAGTTCGGTCCGAGGTTCGAATCCCGCGAATGCTGGCTGCATGGGGTTTCGTGGTTTTCCCCATGTGTAACGTGTATACGAGCCAGTTTCCCTTAGAAAGTCCTCCACGAAGGCATCCCTTCTCTTAGGCAGATAGCCCTCGAGGCTTTGACATAATCACACACACACAACTTCCTTAAAGTCTTAAAGGTGATTACCTTGGTAGTGCTCGTCCGTGCTAGTGCCCTCTCACTTCCACACTCGAACTAAGTAGCCAAACACGGGGAACAAAAACTGTCACGTGTGTAGACCTTACTTTTTTTTCTCGTACTGTTGTCGGATCGGATGCGGGAAATTTTATTTGCCCAGTAGCATTTTGTTTGATATCTAGAATTATATCGGCAGGTCAGCAATGGAATCTTCTCTCTTTGTTTTCTAAGCTAATGTTCTCCATTAAAATTTCTTTCCATACTCTCATATTGTTTTTAGCATTATCTCTTTTATTATTAGTGAAGGCTCATCATCGGCCGAGCGGTAAAATCGCTGAACTCTGGTAGTTCCGACTTGGTTCGAATGGGTTTGAATTCAGGCGAACGCGTGTTTTCATGGTTTTCCCCATGTGTAACGTGTGTATGAGCCAATTTCCCTTAGAAAAAGCTCCACGAATACATCCCTTCTCTTAGGGCCTTAGGCAGATAGTCCTAGTGTGCTTTGGCGTAACAAACTAAACCAAACCAAACCTTATTAGTGAAGTTTTAATCGTTTTATGGTTTTCCATTGGTGTACTGGAAAAGAATGTTTTTTTTTCCTCAGATCTCTTGAAATAGTACGTTATACCGTATATTCAGGACTTAAATTCAGCCGTAGGCTGGCTGAGCTATTTCTTAGTTTTGAATGAAATTGTAAGTTCGTCCGGAGCCCCAAATAAGACTAGATTAAATATGTTGTTTCTTTATTTAACTATTTATCGTGAATTTATAATGTATTACATTTTTATTTATATCTTTATATTTTATTGAATTTAATTATTCAAGTGTTAGTTATTTTATTACTTTATTTGTTATTTTATTTTTTAATTTATTTCTGATGGCCTTACATAGGGCTCCAACTCATCTGATTTAGATTGCACTTTTGATTAGAAATTAAGCCCTGCTGATTACGTTTCTAACGTCTAAATATTAAAAAATTCTAGTTATGATTTCCAAGAAATTAAATTACCAAGAAAATCCTTCGAATTTAGTATAATAAAGAATCATTATTTTCTATAATTTTAATTACTTTTGATTACCAAATGCAATATTTGATATTTCATATGGCATTTTAGTGCAAATTCATATCAGATGGTAAGCTATTCTGTATGATTTTTGCATTAAAAGAAGGGCAGTTTAAGAATTCCACTTTATTGTCAAAGAGCTAAAATTGTGTGCTGGAAGAAGTTTTGAAAATATTTAAACAAAAATGGGTTATTACTTCCTAAAGAAAATATACTGAATATTGTTAGAGCTGAGTCAGCACTTATTGACACTGCTTCTGCATTTGATTAAAAAGAAATGCTCTGTTGAGGAAAAAAGGTGAATGTGAATTTTTCTCGAAATAATAGCCTTAATATCAACCTAAGTTGAACTGTGATTATTTTTGAAATGCGTAATCTTTTAATGAGTTTTTTAAACCGGCGATAATCTTAAATGATTATTCTTAAAATAAGTATGCATACCAGTATACTTATTTTAAAAATCTTTTCAAAATGAAATCTTAAAGTTTAATGTATGTTATCAATATTTAAAAAATTTTTAACTTCTAATAAATAGAGAGAGAAATTCTACGAATTTAAAATTTAGAAACAATTTTATAAAATTAATTGACAGATAATTAAGATGTATAAAATTAAGATCATTAACTGACCTAAAACTAATGTCTAAAAAATATACTTGATTTCATACAGTTTTAGACAAGAGATGCTATTTTATTATTTAAAAAATTTATATAAATTACGAATTTAATATAAATGCAAAAGAAAAGATTCTATGGAAATTAACATTTTGAGCATTTTATTTAACCACACTTTTTAAACTGAGCTTTTAACAGGTTGGGTTGCTTTATCTGATTATGGCAAAGCATTCGAAGGCTATCTGCCTAACTGGACGATTTTCGAAGGCAAGCTTGCTCGTATACGCGTTACACACGCTCATGCAGCCAGCCCGTTTGAGGGATTCGAACCTTCGACCGAACTATCAGTGTTTAGCGACTTTACCCGGCCGCTTGTCGGCGCTTTTTAAAGAAATCTCTGTAAGTGTAAAAATTATAAAGATAAATTTCTAACAGCCATGTTAGTATCGTATAAGCCATTTATGATATCTGTATTTGGAATATCATGCATATAATGAGGAAAACTATACTCTAAAGACGAGAAAAAGGAAGCATGCCTTTATGACTAAAGGAAGCATTCATGCCGCCAGGAACTGGCTAAAAATTAAACGATATATCAGATGTCAATAAGTAAGCGGGTGACAAGAGTCCAGAATATACCATTAAAATAGCACTAAATTATAAACAATGGGTGTTAAAATATAGATTTAATATTCTCAGTTGACTATATCATTTACTGATAATGAATGATTTACAGTTTATCTACTGAAAACGAAAGAAATACTGTTTCTGTCACCTAGTCACAAAAAAAATATCAAAATTTGAGAGAACTGTTTTAAGGTTCCTTAACTATACCACCTGTCACGAGAACCTTTAACACAATGTTCGTCAAAGTAAAGGAAGTAAAATCGCGATAAAAAATTCGGGTATAATGTTTGAAAGAAAATATCCATTTGGTACCTTTAGGCAGCTCTCGCGTCAATTTGAACGATGCTCTGTACGTACGGACAGAACAAAGGACTGATTTTTACAAAACGGATTCTAAAATGGATTTAAAAGGAATTTTTTCCGTGACTTCTGTACGTACGTACGTAGGTTATGTATGTCGCATAACTCAAAATCGATTAGCCGTAATACTTTGAAATTTTGTATATGGGACTGCTAAAACAGCTACCCGTGCTACTCTCTTATTTATGCATATATATATACATCCAGCCTCTTACCCGGCTCGATAAGCTCTATTTTATTCTTATATGTTAATAAATCGTGCATGTTTTGCTTTAAAACTGATTGGTTAGGTTAGGTTAGATTATTTAATTACGGCAAAGCCTCGAAGGCTATCTGCCTAAAGGAAGAAATGCCTTCGTGGAGGACTTTCTAAGGGAACTGGCTCGTATACATGTTACACATGGGGAAAACCACGAAAACACCCATGCAGCCAGCCCCTTCGCGGGATTCGAACCTCAGACCGAACTACCAGTGTTCAGCGACTTTACCGCTCGGCCGCTGGTGGGCCCTTAAAACTGATTGAATTGTGTTTTTCTTATGTTTCAGTTAAAGTTCTTAAAGCCTTTAGTAAATCTGCATGCAATACTTGTAGAATTATCAACAGCTTAAAAGTTGTTTAAGTGGTGCTAAGCCTAACGAAGCTGCCTTTTGTTTACATTTAAAACTCAGTAGAACAGTGAATTAAGTCAGTTGGTGTACCCACTTCAGTGTTTTTCCCCAGTGGTACCAAAAGTCAGCTTTGTTTGTTTCTGCATAGAAACTCTAATTTTAATTGCAAAAATTCTTTTTTTAACGATGTTTAACTATATTTGGTGTGTTAGCTGTTTCTGTATTTTATAAGTTTTAGTAAAGATGTTGAGTTTTTGTATATTTTTTCACTGCTGCAAAGTAAGAACTAAATTGATTGAATGAGAAATATATCTCTATTGAAATTTGAGGAAATAAATTTTAATGAAGCGCAGCAAAAAATGTGTCAAATTTAATAGGCCGTACAAAGAGTTCATGTGGTGTCTGCATTAAATTTTTTCACTTGCGACACATTACGACGATCTGGGGTTATTTTGCTGCAGTATGGTAATTATAAATATTGCATTAAAAATATAGATACGTGTTCTTTTTTATTCTTTTTAACTCTATGTTATGAACGTTACATCTAAATTATTTACACATCATTCTTTTTTTAAGCATTTTAATTTTTGCGCAGAATTATAATCTTAAGAATAAAATTCAGTGTTAAAAGGTTGTAGATTCATTAGGTTATATCGATGCAGGAAACAAGAAATCCCGATGTGCCTTCGCCGAGATTTGAGCTCCGGATATCCCGCATACGCGATGAGAGTGCTCGCAGTTACACCACAAAGGCACGCGGAAAATGAAAGAAGGCACAATGGGGAATAATGCTTTAAGTACTCCCCCTCTGGGCGACTGAGGGGAACCATACGCCAAATCTCGGAGGTGATGAATTATCGTGCACCACCACCTTAGTTCAGGCGCTACTAATACTAAGCCTTTTAGAATACTAAGTCTTTTAGAATTTTTCGAAGTCAAAACGTTTTAAGAAATCCACAGTACCCTCGCCGGGATTGGAACTCTGGACCTCCCGAATACACATCAAGTGTGCTTGCAGTTACACTACAAAGGCATGCGAAAAGGATGGATAAAATAGTGTGTAAAGTAAACCTTATTTTGCCTTTACTACTAAAAAAAGTAGCTCTAACAACTCCTAACTTTTTGTGGCCATACTATGGAAATGTATGTATAAAGATGAATGTTGCAAAGATAAAAATAAAACATAAGAAAGCATATATGAAAAACTATATATTTGAACTATGTAAATGACATTTTAAGAGATGCTTGATATAAATGCCTAGAAGGAACATACATTTTCTTTCTTACAACAACAGTAGATGGAATGCAATTTTAATGTAATGTCTTAAACTAAAGTGCAAAGTTCCTATACCGTTTGACCGTTTGACACTTGACTATACCGTTTGACACTTGAAGAACTAAGCATAAAATTGTCTAGTAGAGCATTGAGTTTTGAACTCTACAGTGTTCGCTCCAATAAAGATTTAAGAGCTACTATAATTCAAATCTGAAATATAATTAAGCATTTCTTTAAAAAATCCTTTTCTGTATATAAATATATGATAATTATTTCCTACTCATGAAATTTATATTTTTATTGCTATAGTTTATTTTATTAACGTTTGTAGATGTGTATGTTATGTACAGATTCCTAACCATTACATCTTATTTCTTTCCCATACATATTTTATACATTCCATGTACATTTTTATGCAACTTTCTGTTTCGAAATTTGTGTATCTACTTCCACTAATCATTTTCCCATTTACATTTTGCTTGACTCATGGTTTAATCGTAATACGTCTGCAATTATATCAGATGTCCGTATTGTAAATAGCTTATTTATCCTGCATATTTTATCTCTTAATCTAACTATTATTCCTGACAGAATAGCGAATTTCACTAAATTTTATTGAGATGATTTTCAGTAATGGTATGAAAAGTCATTTGGTACTTTATACGAAATATCTACCGAAACTATTCGCAGCTTCTGTGTTTTTGGAATATTTTATGAAGTTTTCTCTCACTATGAAATATTTTAACAAAAATGCAATATATAAAATATGCTTTATAGTTTTAGAGTAAGATTCATTTTTGATGAAATTTAGGTAATAAAAATAATAGCGTTTGTTAATAGCAAATTTTGATTTTCTTTTTATCCGAAGAAAGAATAAAACTTTCAATTTCGACTCATTTTAGACTTTTAAGAACATGAAATGCTATTTTAGCTTCACAATACAACTGTTTTCAGCACTAAAATTAGATATGGATTCATAATTCTTGGATTTTTTTTCTCACTTTTAGTGATGTCATTCATTTATTCTGTGTTGGCTGCCTGCAGTATTAGCGACGTAAAGAAGCCGGAAAATGTCTCTCGGTTCGGAATACGATCAGCAAATAACAGGTTTTGAAATATTTTTTGGACTGATCTCAAATTCTTTATTGCAAGGGACGCACTAATGACACGGAGTAATTCATGTTCATACTGCGCAGATTAAATATCCACAGACTGTTTTTCTGCGTAGCATGGTAACACTGGATAAATGATCACGATTCAGTTTATATTTTCGGAGCTGTGAACACTGAGAACAAATGATTTTAACCCAGCGTTAAAATCATAAATAACTCAGCGTTATTTCTCTAAAAAATCCTCACTGTTTCCTTTTCACTTATCTCAGGATATTCATCAGAAATTCTAAACAAAATCTTGACTATTGTTGACAGTTGCATTCACTTTGTGCCTTCCATCCTTGAAAGTCACGAAAGAAAGAGCTTCGTCCGGCGAATCGTCAGTTTCGCTGGATTTGGCAAGTTTTAGTCCAACAAGCATGGAATGTCTCAGATCGCTGCTTTGTCTTGTCCAATTGTATCTCCTACTAGAATGCCGGGTAATAGCAGCATCCACTTCATCGGATCCATACTCATCTAAAATTATAAATTAAAATACTTAAAACAAGTCTAAAATAATTTTGTATCAGGTTTTCGCATTATGTGTGAACTACAATAAAATCAGGAAATGGAAATAGAAATAATACTTAAAAACTTAATAACTATATTTAATACTTGACCGATATACTCTGACTGCCGTACCAAAGGGCCTGGGTTCGAATCCCGAAAAAAGCATGTATGTTTGGCATGGGGGCACTCTTTAGAGTGTGACGAGCCAAAATTCCTTTCGAGAGGTTATGGTAGGAGAGGAAGGGTGTGGCATTTTGCGAAATTTTTCTCTTTACATTTCATTGCACATTTAGAGAATAATTAGTTTTTACTAGCCTTTTTCTGGTATAAAATTTGATGTCTAGTACTATGAATTGCATAAATCATCCGAGAATAACTAACAGAAAGTTCAAAAAGGAAGAATAAAATATTAATAGGTTTTATTTTGGTATTTAATATGAAAAACACAGCACATATTGGAAGAAAACTAGTTAATGAATTTTATTCCTACATAAATAGATGCCGCCCAACCAGTATACTGGTTATTGACCCTGACTACCGTACCGAATGGCCAGGTTTCGAATCCCAAGTTCACTGATGTTTGTAAATGTTTAGTGTCTGTGCAGCATGGGGGCATTCAAAATATGCGGCTTGCCGAAAATCCTCTCGAGAGGTTAGTGGTAGGAGAAGAAATATGGGAGATCTTCGGACCCGTCCTCCCAGGATGTTCTCCTTCCAATTGAGGGTGGAACTGAGTAAAGTCTTACTGTCATCCGTATGGTGCCCAAGGCTCGTGTCAACGACAGGCGCAATTTTGACTTCTTGCCATCATTAATTTCGTGGGCTTGCTCTGATTTCAAAGCGAGATTAATCACAACAACATAGATAGGTATATATATATATATAGATATAATCATAAAAACTATGATAATAAAATCAGAATCATTAACAACTTCTTTCTTTACATTATGTTATAACTCTACGTTTAGCATATCTTTTAAAATGCGTAAACTTACCTTTCAGTTTGGCTATTTCATAGCGCCCAACTGGTGGCCATTTACTATTGGCTTCTAACTCCTTTTGGAGCTTCTCATACTTGTGAATTGGTCCTCTTAATCTTCGTAGAGCTGGAACTACATATTCGAAGAGGAATCCTTGAATGAAGAATATCTGAGAAAGTAAAATATTTTAAAAACTTATTTCAAATAACATTCTTTCAGCAAATTAATATTAATTTCTTTCTCCTATTGTCATGTGGATATTTGCATTCACTTTTAAATGTTAGGTGTTTACTTTACATCTCCTGCCTTGCATTACATGTTTCCAACCATTCATAACTTGTGAATATTTCATATACAAACAGAAATATAAGATTTTTAACTCTGGGGATTTGGATGACAGTATGCGAAATAATGCATAACTGATGATCATTCAAAATCTCTGAAATATTTCTGATAGAATCTCCGCATTCAGTATAACTAAGACTAGAAATTTAACTAGACTTCCTCCTTGACCTATACATAAGGGAAACTCTCCTGTTTGGCAATGTTCACGTATTTTCGGAAAAATTTAATATTCGATTATATAATATCGCGTATTTGGTATACAGTGGAAGAATATGCCTCGTTTTTGTGTGATTTGGGTGTTGCTCTGTTGATATGTTAAATTTTCGAGCCCTTCTGATATTCGCAATCCCTAACTTACAGCTCGCGTTTTGGAACAGAAATTGAGGAATTTTTCACATATAATGCGAAATCTTTTTTTAGCTCTATTCGACTTTGGTATTACTTTTAACACTCTGCGCTCATAAAATTAGCAATGAAACAATTATGTTTAGCGTAGATTTCAGTTAAGTCTATCAGGAACAAAGAAATCCCTAATTTAGACTTAGACTCTATAATTGACGAGCTATTGCGAAGAGCAATGTTGCCGTTCCAGAATTAAAGCCCAAGGGCACTTGACATAAATAAGTCCGGACGTGGAGAAAATCTCAGATGAGAAAACGGAGATAAGGGGAAGAAGAGAAGTACCAAAAGGAGCAAGACAATCCAATCGGACAAGTTCGCAAAATGTGACGAGCGATCATAGCTTTCAAGGAGGACCCAAGACAATGGAAATCAATGACAACAATACGAGAAGATACACTACAGCAATAGTTCCAATGACAATTTAAATACAATTAAATAACATCAATCAATAGTGCTAAATACAACACAATACAAAACAACTATACAACACAATTTAAATACAATTATTCAACGAAGCTACAGAGGAACTTCAATCAAAATCAGATGCATTGGGAAGTATAAATAGCTAACAATTGAGGATCTAAGTGAAAAAGTTGTCATCTTCCTCCCATGAAGGTGTGAGCTGCAAGTGGTCTGACGCCTTCTATCTTCGAAGAGAATTTCATAATTAAAGACTTGGGAGTAATTAAAAACAAAGTCACACTGCACAGCTTTGTTGAAGAATGTTTTTCATTAGATCTTCTGATGTAATCTGGAATCGTCTCAAGTTTTAAGTCTCTGTGTAAAAGTTTATTGCGGATAAGATAGTGTGAATCAGTAATAATGCGCAGAAATTTGTTTTGCACTACTTGTAATTGATGCAGTTGAGTTTGAGTGACCGTGTTCCAAGCAGGAGCAGCATAACAAAGTATCGGTCGAATGCAAGTGGTATATATATGTTTTTTTGGTACGCAAGCTAAGATTTGAATATTTTACAATGACCGGGAGAAATCTGCATATTATGCCCATGGCTTTGCTCTTGACACTATTAAAGTGATTAGATCATGCGAGCCTTTGGTTCAAAATAATTCCTAAATATTTGGCCTTTGTGACCAGAGGAACAGCTTCCTGAAAAAGGTAGAGGTCTTTTAAAAGCAATGTTTTTTCTTAGTTTTGCTAAGAATTAAAAGTTGTGACTTGCTAGCATTGATTTTTACTCGCCAATTTGTGCACCAGTCTTCTACGGCATAGAGGTAATTTTGCATTTTGTCTATTGCATGATTAGCTTGAATGGATTTAATTTCAATCACCGTATCGTCGGCATAACATGCTAACAGAGAGTAATTGTCCAAACCAGGGTGAGGAAAATCTGATATGTAGAAAAGATATAGTACTGGACCGAGAATACTTCCTTGTGGGACGCTAGATCTTATAGGTCTTGAATTGGATTTTTCATTTCCTTGAGCGACGAAGAAAGTGCGGTTCTGCAAAAAGGAGAAGATCAGAAGAATGAGCTCTCTAGGAAGTCCCAAGTTGATAAGCTTGAAGACGAGCCCCTCATGCCAGACGCGGTCAAAGGCTTTTGCCACGTCCAGCATAAGGAGCGCAACACTTTGCTTGCTATGGAATGCAGATCCCACAAATTCTACAATTCTTACTAGTTGTCGAGTAGTACTGAGGTTTTTTCTGAATCCGTACTGATCATTAGGTAGCAAGTGAAGAAAAGGTTCCAATCTAGTGAGAATAAGTCTTTCATAAATTTTACCAAGGCAGGATAACAAACTGATAGGACGATAGCCATCAGGCTTGGTCACATCTTTACCCGGTTTGGGAAGAAGAAAGATCTTGGCTTGCTTCCAAGGATCAGGGAAATAGTTCAGAGTAAGACAAGCGTTGAGAATACTAGCGAATTTACTGATAAGTTTTCTAGGTAAGTTACGAAGCATTTTATTTGTAATTTGATCACTTCCAGGAGCTTTTTTGATGATGTTGAGATATTTAATAATATTAGTAATTTCCATAGGAGAAGTAAGCCTTGGGGTGTTATGAGCCGAAGAAAAATGAAGCCAGGAATACACATAGTTTTCGAGAACATCTTTAAAGGTCTGATTCATGGGCTCCATATTAGGAGTAAACTGTTTTTCCAGGTATTCAGCGAAAATATCGACTTTATCTTTAAGTGAGTAGGCAATTTTAGTATCCGTATGAATAGGTCTATTATTAATACTGCTTCTTTTAAGATTTTGAAGATACTTCCACAGAGAACCATCATTAATATTAAGTTTAGATATAAAATCTTCTCTTGTCTCCTTTTTAAAATCAGTGATAAGTTTCTTGATTCTTCTATTAAAAATATTGATTTCTCTTTTAAGGGCAGGGTCTCAGTTACGGTGCCAAAGCTTCAGCAATCGGTTTCTTTCTTTGATAATGTCTCTGATACTGCGAGGAAGTCGAATATTATTGTTAGTTAATTGAATGGTAACTGTAGCATCTCTGAAAGCTTTCAGTATACTGTCAGTGAAGATTTTAATGGCAAGATCGATATCCTGTTTGGTAGAAAGTGAAATGAAAATAGGAGGATGTTTGAGTAAGATATTGTGAAAAGTAATCCAGTCAGTATTATTTCTGGTAATAGGAGGGTCTTCTTTAGAAACACCAAGAGAAGCAATGACAGGTACATGATCAGATGTAAGTTCTGCCTTGACTTCCAAGGAAATAGGGATAGAAGTATTTGTAAGGATAATATCCAAGGATGTCCGAGAGATTTGGAGAGGCAGGACGATAAGTGGCTTCAGAAGGTACATGTAATGCGACAGGATGATAGCAGATAAAATTATGCATAATGCGTCCATTGGTGTTAGAACGACGACATCCCCATTCGAGGTGCTTAGCATTCATGTCTTCCGCAATAATAACTTGATGATCTTCAGGAAGTAAATTTTTTAACATATTTTCAGAAAGTCGATTTCGTGGTAGATTATAAATAGCCGTAAAATGTATGGTACCAAATTGTGGGAGTATAACAGCAACAGTCACACTTTCGAATCCAGAAGCAGAGTTTGTCGAGAGAAGACAGGATTGCAGAGAGTTTTTAACAAACATTGCAGCTCCTCCTCTTCTTTGTGAAAGTCTATCACCTCTGTAGGTGCGATAATTAGCAATATAACAGTCTATCGGCAGGAACAACATCTGTTTTCAGAGATCATGCCAATATCTATGTTATATTCTATAAAAAAAGTCCGAAAGTTCATCAGTTTTGTTAACAATGCCAGCAGCATTCCAATAACAAAGTTTGAAGCGGAATCTGACTTATTGAATATGCTGGTCAGAGATGATTTCATCTGAATACCGTATTAGTGAAGCATTTTGACGGAATGTTTTACGCAAGGAGTTGTATTTCCTGAATTTTTCAGGAAGGTGACTAGAGATTAAGGTCGTCAAATATCTTTTTTGCTTCTGCAATAAGATTTGGAGAAGGATTGTTATTAGCTTTGATGGCTTCAGCAAAAGACTTATTGATAATAAACCTATCAGCATATGATTTGATTTGTTCTTTTTTAGCTTGCTTCGGAAACTTTTCACAACCTTAAATGAAGCTGTGTGGTCTAGACCACAATTTGCACATTTAGCAGGTGCATTCTTGTCTTTTTGACAGGTTCTTGAGTCATGGTTATCACCACATTTAACACATCTAAAGTCATTGTGGCAAGCAGCTTGTGAATGGTGAAATCCTTGACATCGGAGGCACTGGACTGGGCCAGAGCGTCCTTTATATGGTTCGACTTTTGATATGTAATCCACAAATTTTGGTTTCTTTAGAAATTTCTTTAGATTTTTCATTTTTCTTCAGAGTGATAAGAAAAAGTGGAAATTTTTTAACTTCTCCTTTAAATCTACGAGAGAGTTGACTGACACTTCGTAATTTTTGCTTAAAAGTTCTTCTTTGATTTCATCAGGATCTGTGTCCATTGTAAGATGACGGAAGACTACTTTATGATTCTTCTCATCAGGCAAGAGAAAGGAGTGATATTTAATTTCCTTTTTGTTCAGAATACTTGTCATTTCTCTATGAATGTTGACATGAGAGACTTTAATTTTAAAGCCTTCTTTTTGAATGTAACCTGTGTAATCAGATTTGACTGATAATTTACGTTCTGCAAATAACGCTTTTAGTTCTTTCCAATCAAATTTTTATCATTTATATAAATGGCAGGTGGCGCTTTGCCTTTTTTGTTTTGATCGTTTTGTATTTCTTCATTTTTCTGAGATTCATTTGGAACAACAGGAACTAGTGTCCATTGATTCTTGACTATTAATGGAAGGAGTAACAACTGGTTTGTGCTGAGAAGGATTAATGGGACGAAAATGACCCTTTTTTCCTTTTACCCACACTGTACAATCTCCTTTGGGTTTTTGTTCAGTTTCGTTACCTGAACTATCCGT